ATTTTTATGTGATGCCGGAACAAATATATGTATAGACAGACAAAAATTTTAAAAAAGCATTGTTTTGTCTTCTAGGTTTTATTAAGATCCCTTATATAAATTTTTCTAAAAGATTTTCCATGTAAGATATTGTCCATATACAATTTTATTATATTATTATTACTAGTAAGGATATGTGTATCAAATTTACTATAGTACTCGTATTTTACGTCTATTAAATTCTATTGCTGATTAGCTGCAACTAATACTGTGTCAGCTGTTCCCGCAGCTTTGGCGGCGTAAATCAGTATTATAAAGTATTGTGTGTTAAGTTACAATTGAGATATACTCGTAATCAGTGCACTTGATTTAATTTAATCTACTTAGCTGTTTAAATGCGACTGAATAACAAATATAAATTTTCACATTAATTATATATTATTTTAATACGGTAGGATTCCAAATTTGAGTTTAATTTGGTACAATTACGTACAACAACAGTGTAAGACAGATATAATGACTTCAATGTCCAGGAAATATAAAAATACACAACAGTATACTATGCAAGTTTAATTAGACAACGTTGTTCCGCGGCCGAATGTCCGGGGACCAGCTGGGGTCCCGCATCTTATCCTTCACACGGGCCAGCTCCGCGTCGTTGCCACCACCGCTGTCACTTCCGAACGCGCTCCTTTTGGAACGATACTCCTGTACTTGGGGCACTTTGGGAGGCTCGACGGTGCCCTGCCTTACAGAAGCCTGCTTCGATACCGGCACTGGAGGGTAATATAGCTGCGCGTATATGTCTCCTTCCACTTGACAGTACACTGCACTCACTAACAATAATAAAATTACTCTGCCAATCATTGCTGGATGCTGAGATGTTTTCACACTGAACTGGTCGTATCAAATGGTAGCAGACTCAATTGGAGACCCCTTTTAAAGTTTAAGGAAAACTGGACTGCAGTGGATATTTGTTAGTAAATATTAAATGATGTCACTCCTGTTATTGTGTGGATTGGTGCGCGCGCGTCACCCATACATTAATTCATAAACGAAACATTTGAAAGGACAAGGAAGTTGGCTTATTAGCATCATTGACGCATTGTTAATTACATCTTTAACAGGCAACTTTGTTTATCAACTTGTGAAAATGGAATGGTAAGCTCGCCTACAGTATATAATGGGTAAACGACTTGCATCTGAGGCAACTTACAAATAAAAAATAAAAATATTATACTTGCAAAGTCACTGTGTAGGTCACGACATATAATATGGCGACCCTTTCTTTTCCGTGGGTGTGGTAAGAGGCGACTACGGGAGTTTATGGTGGAGGAATGGACAGCAGCGTCCCTCTTTAAAAATCACCAAAAGCCAAACTGCGGTTGTCAACCCGCCTGCTAAGCGTAACAACCACTGGTAAAACTCTCGTTATCGGAGAGGCTATGTTCAGTTGTGGATAGTTAAGGGTTTATACTGTCAAAGTTGTCGATGCACCAGTGAAGGATGATCAGTGATGAAAATGTGAGGTCCGTTGGCAAAAGAGACGAATTCACCAGGAATTAAATAATCCTACGCCTGCGCTATCGATATACGCTGGCGGCGCACCAGGCAGGGTTGATTAGTTAAGATGAAAGAAGGTCATCGTGACCAAGAATTAACTACAATAATATCCAAAAAGAACCGCTTGGAGGTCGACCTAATAGAGTATATTATTAGGATTGGAGCTGTTTTTTTTATGCGACTTAGAATGGCAAATAAGCTGACGGTCCACCTGATGGAAAGTGGTAACCGTCGCCTATAGACACGAGCAGTACCATGGACATAACAGAGTATACTGTTTCGCGCATGATATGATGAACCCCTATGCGTTGCCATTCCTGAAGCCTCAGGTGTTATTCTTCTGTACCATGTAAATTCACTGCCATATCCCACCCTTCAAACCGAAACACAGCCATGCAAATACAACTGCTTTACGGTAGAAATACGAAACGGACAGAGGTGCCTGAGTAAACAACTTTTTTACAAAGTCTTCCTCTAGTGGCTGTTAGATCCCTATTCATAAAAAATACTTATTCCCTAACCAAAACAGTTTCCAGGGCTCACGTGGAATTCGACTAGACTGGGTATAAGGACGCCGGTTATTTACTATGCAATCTGCTTGCTATCAGTCGGGCTGTATGCTTGATTGCTATACATATTATTATCGTTGTACCAAAAAGCATCATTTTATAATTATAATCTATAGTTTTTACTTACATTGACATACATACATTTACATATATAATACGAGTATTGCTGTCCGTACTAAGTGGTCAATCTGCTTATAATGTAGACCAAAGTGCATTACTATAATTCTTGAAATTCTCTTTTTTTTTTTTCCTTTTGAATCTATTGCGACAGGCAAACTGACCAGTCTTTATCACCATTGTTTAATTTTCCATTGATGATGTATCGCTATTTTTATGTATATTATTATTATACCATACTATCATCGCTATTTAAAATGAACAATTCAATGTAACGCGATTCAAAGACAACTCTATCACTTAAATTACTGTAAAATAACTCAATCTTTTGGAATATAGAGCCAATGTAGAGCACGGGTACATACGTTTGTGTGTTACAAGCATGTTGCGATAGATGGCGCTTTTTATTGAATCACATTCCTAATGTATTGTACACGTCATTACAATACAATGATTATATTAAGTGCAGTAGATTGAATTAATAATTTAATAATAGAATATTTTGTATAATATATATTTCTATTATAAAATAATTTAAAATAATATTATAAAACTTGTTTGCAATATACATATATAATATTCGGAAAGTTGGTATATCGACTTCGTGGCGCAATGGTAGCGCGCCTGACTCCAGATCAGGAGGTTGCGTGTTCAAATCACGTCGAGATCAAAACCGAATTTTTTTATGGTAACATTTTTAATATCATTATAACATTTTTTAAATTAATAAAAAGATAAGACATGATAGTACTTATATAAAAAAAAGAATAATTAATGCAACTTTGGAGATGCCGGGGATCGAACCCGGGGCCTTTCACATGCAAAGCGAACGCTCTACCACTGAGCTACATCCCCATGTTTATCCATGAGCGAATTACGTGGTTAGGCGTAGAGGCTGCCTTGTACACGTCGTGGAATGTCGTACTACTACATTTTATTGTGTCACTACGCAACGTGCATGCGACAAGTAATGAGGCGCAAAATCTATACATTCTTTACAATCAGATATTTTATGTTAAACTAGTTTTACTTCTCTGCTTTGTACGCGTAGATGTCAGATATAGGAAAACTAATGGAATACACAGCTTTTACATGGTGTATTAAGATGAAATGTACACCAAATTTTAAGTTAGACTTTCAGGAATACAACTGTGAAATCCTTACAGTATTTGATGTAGTTGTTTTTGCGTGAAACTGGAACAAACATAAGGAGAAACAAACAATATTTACAATGTGTTTTTGTTTTACAAACACTTTTTCCATGTAAAATAATACATTTAATTGTGTTGCTCTGAAAAGAGAAGAATTTATAACTAACAATTGATCTCAACTTACAACCTTCATCATCATCTTCCTACCCTTATCCCAATTATTGTTTGGGGTCGGCGTAATATGTTTTTATCCATATTACAAAAAGATTTGGCTTTTAGTTTTACGACCGGCTGCCTGGCCGACGTCAACCCTTTTTGGGATCTATCAGACGATAATCAACTTACAACCTTATTACTATTAATATATCGAAATTAGACAACTTACCTGAAAAGAGAACATTTTACGCAATTATTTCACATGGAAAAAGTGTTTGTAAAACATAAACACATTATAAAACAACATTTTAAGGTGTTATTTCAATAATTAAAAACAATTTAAAATATTTATTACAAGTAAACAGTAATTTTTTGCATCTAGACATTTCCTCATGAATGACTGTGAATGACGTACGTCTTTCTGACGATTTGACTCAACTCCTAATGCGCGCCAAATTCAAATTAATAACTGTCAAATGACTATTTACATATACTTATAAAAAAATATTTTGGCTTCTGTTAGTTTTATTGAGGACCTTCATGTCAATTTTCCCATGTACAGATCTTGTCTAGTTACAACATTATTATTGTTAATAAAGTAACAATAATAATGTTGTAATTTACGCTTAATGAAGTAATTTTATATTTTTTATAATATCTAAGTAAGGACTTCAAATTCCTTTTTAAAAGGCCGACATGATAGCTAGACTTCATTCTCGCCTATTTTCTCTCAGTGTTATACTGGTAAATCAGGCGGTAGGTCTGTATTATGAACCGTTTACAATTGAATAGAACACATGATGCAAACACAGTCGCTTGGTAGTGGAACATGAGAGATGAAGGAAATGATGACTAACACAATTAGTTATTATCTCAAGCAATAGATGAAGATATTAATTTAAGTTTATTTTGATTTATTTGCGATAACATTTTAGACTTTTTACTTAAACTATTCAGTTGATGAATAAAGAAATAAAAAATAAAATAATTAATTCCATATAAGTATATTTTATTAGACTTAATTCTACAATACCTATCATAACCATTCAGTAAAAGCGTACAGTCGTCGGAGGCAATTATGTATTATGTTGAAGTTTTATTTGTTACTTTTAAAAATAGAATTTATTAATTTAATTTTTTTGTGAATTAATGTTTTATTATTAGAGAACAAATTTTTTTAAATATCACTATTATTGTACTAGAAAAAATATAATATATCTTTATTCAGTATTTTCTATTTTATTGTTCTATACAACGAACCCTTCACATCTTATGAGCTAGTTAACACGCTCAATAATTTATATAAAAAAAAAAATATATATACCAATACTTTAGTTAAAACACGCCATGCAAGTAGAAGTAACAAGCGGCGTGTGAAATGAAAGCAATCTTTGGCACTTTGTTTTCTCAATGTAGTTATCGCTTATTACATAAGGCACTGTCGTGAAAGCAAATGGATAGACCATTGAATTTTGCATCATATATTTATTTAAAATTATTTTCAGGGGTGTTTACACAGAGTTTAGAAGTGTTGTAATATTTCTTATATCAAATTAACAATCAATAAATAAAGTAAGAGGACCTATTATTATTTCCTTCCGTTTACTAGAATTAAGTGACTTCATTGATGGATCTAAAAATATGTATAAAAAACATTAATACCTTATATATAATATAGTTTAAATATATTTTTCCTCCACCAAAATCAATCACGCGAATTTATTTCAAATAAGGGATTCTAAGAAATATTACGTAGACTCGTTGCTTAGGCAATCTTAGCTTGCTTACATTACAGATGTACTAGGTATATCTTAGATTAACTAAGATAACATAGGTATCTTGTCTCTCGTGGGCAAAGCTGCGAGGTACAGTTAGTAAATAATAAATAGTTTTTTAACCATAAATAGAGGTAACATAACGAGACAATCCAAAAAGTTGTTCATTAATACATTAAAACATTTTTGAATTTCGAGTTTAAATTTCGAATGTAATCCGTTCGCCGACTTATTTTTTAGCCTCTGCTTCCATGATGAACTCGGCGAGCAACAGTTCCATGGTGGGCGCGATGCCCCTCTCCTGGCAGGTGATCTTGAAGCACTCCGCGGTGTGCAGGATGCGCCAGCAGTGGTCCTCCTCGTGGTCGAACTTCTTCTCACAGGTGTGGATTATTTCTACCATCTGTTTCGCCAGGACTTCACCTGAATACAAACATAGAAGGGATTAGGGCGTCTATAAATGATGTTGCTTTAAAATACTTTAGATGTTCCCTATGCCAATTTTAGTACTTAGTAATAATGCACCTTGTTTCACTAGTTGGCTCGTATAATAAGAATATCCTGGGGATAAAAGGATTGGCGACCCATTTTATTATATACTTTGACACCATAAGCAAATATTTTTTTATAAAAATCATCATCATCAAATCAGTCCTTATTGGTCCACTGTTGAACATAAGGCTTCCTCTTGAGGGGTTTTGCCAGTAGTTGCCACGCTTGGCAGGCAGATTGGCAACCGCAGTTGGGCTTTAGAGATGTTTCAAGAGGGATGTTACTGCCCAACCATCGCCCTCCTTTAGTCGCCTCTTATGACACCCATGGAAGAGGAAGGGGTGGCCTATTCTATGCTAGGATCATATAGATTATATATAAATATATTTATATAAATAAAAAATATATATGTAAAAGAATATCGCATACTAGTGTAAAAAATATTTGATTGCAAAGATATCATCGTGTTCTCTGTGATAACCATGGTACTGTTCAAATATATAGGTGACAATTGCTGCTTTCCAATAAGTTGGCTTATTTTCTGGCTGATGGCTGATGATGGAATAGTGCATCCGCTTATGCAAATGGTGTACACCGACGAGGGATCAGTGAACAACGAAGCGATAAAAATGAAGTTAGTTAGCCCACCGTGGAAAATTCACTAGAAATCGAGATGATCTGACCTGACAATAAGGATCAACCTTCCAATTACTAACAACCTCTTCCCCCCAAATTATCAATTGCGCTGTTAGCTTATTCGCCATTCCATGTTCTATATAAAAGAGATGAAATATTTCTTAAAAAAAACGTGTAAAATACCGTTGGGGAAGCTTTTGATAAATTTCTCAGTGTTCTCGTGATGCATGCGGTGGGAGTCGGTGAGGAGGTTGAAGTAGCGGCTCATGCAGTGGATGGCGCAGCCCACCTCGCGGTGCTCGAACTTGAAGTCGTCCCGCCAGAAATGGAAGAACTGCTCCATTTTTTCAGTGGTTAATGCAGTCTAAAATATAAAGGTATAGATAGAATATTATCTAAAATGTTCGCGGAGCGAGCGATTTAGAGACTTTATTTTAAGCACCAAAATCTTTATGATAACTTTTGTTAAAGTTGTTCTTATTATATATTGCACTATATTCTTTTGATTTCAAATTGAAAAACGAGAATTCTTAGCATATTTGAAGTAGTCAAGATATATAATAATATAAATATTTGTTTAATCAGACTACATAAGGCCCATTTTGTTAGTTATAAATTACTAAACCTATGTTAGTAAATGAGCGGTCATAACGCTCTTGCATTGATAACCTGTCCCGCCCAATATTTTAGGATGCGACAGTCCATTTTATCAGCAAATGTCTTCAGGACATTGTTTGAGCTAACACGCACCCTACCCAACAGCGAAACAATTCGTTTGTGCCGTATTGCGTAAAAATTATTCGTACGCTCTCGTGCAAACATGTGTGACGTTTGCCTTCTGGAGTAAGTAACAATCATTTCTCATTTCTAATTGATGAATAATCTAAATAATGAATAAATGATAAATGATCTTGTTGCGTGTGTCAAATTTGGGACCTTCGGATCCCATAATCTTTGTAATAGTAAGAAACATTATTATGTTCCCTCTTATACTCTTACCTCTTCTCTGCAATGCTCGAGAGCCTCACCGAAGCCTAGAGTGACATCCTTCATGACTACCATATCTGCCATAAGGCCAGGCAGACTGATCACAAGCACCGTTAAAATCTTCCTTGCTGTCATGTTCATGACGTGTAAACTGTGCCGAGGACAGCTGTACCTCGCTATATCTACGTTACTCGACAGTATAATGGCTACTTGTCAATGGAAGCTAATGTCAGGTTACGAGTCCATTAAAAAAACCACACGCGCATAAAAGAATATTTTTCTCGTTTACTTTGTTTAATAGTTTATAATTTAAAAAATATAGCACGTCATAAAACGATTATCTAAGTCATGCTAGCTTCTGCCCGCGACTCGGTGTGCCATTCGGTTGTCCCTGCATCTGACATTAAACAGCAAGTAACGGTACAGCATCCTGTACCTACACCACAAAGACTAACTGTACAATTATTATAAGTTGAACTCTATTTACATAAATAATTTGTTACATTTTAAACTTTCGTACTGTTGATACATATTTAGAGTATGCTATCGGGAATTATTCGGGATGCTTCGCGATTGCAAGTAAATAGTACTCAGATACTTGATTTTTATTGGCATTGTTGATGTTCCGACGTAGATAGCACTACGTCGTGGTTACGACAGAACTTTTCTAGCATCCCGCGTAGTTTTTTCGTCTATCCTATAATTATAATTATTATTTCTAGATCCACCCTACTCTCTGCGCTCATGGTGTCTATACTGCGTTTATACAAATTATCGCGTGTCTTAAGGTTATTGGATTTCATGCTGTTAAAAGCCTATATACATCATCCTTACTGACATTTTTCGAATGTTTCTTAATTTAAATTGTTTCACTTTTTTTTTATACAACTGAGAATGGCAAACGAGCTGACGGCCCACCTGATGGAAAGTGGTAACCGTCGCCTATAGACACGAGCAGTGCCATGGACATAACAGAATATACTGTTTCGCCCATGATACCACCCATGCGTTGCCATTCCTGAGGACTCAGGTGTTCTTCCTCCGTACCGACTAAATGCACGCCATATCCCATCTTTCAAACCGAAACACAGCCATACAAAAATAACTGCTTCACGGTTGAAACACGAATGCGACAGAAGTACCTAAGCAATCGACTTTTGTACAAAGTCTCCCTCTGGTGACTATTCACTATCGAAGGGTTGATCGGTTGATAGAACTATTAGATCATGTTACGGCGTTATATACATACTCGTATTTTTTTATTATTTCGGCTATGGTTCGTGATATATGGTCTATATGTTAGCTCCCATAGCTATAGCTCAGCTTAATTATTCAAAATTTTGAGAGTGTGTGTCACAACGTAACCAGTACAACTTTTTATATTATGATATTCGTAATATAAAACGTGAAATTATAAGATGATTGCTTAGCAATAAGACTGCCTCTTATACTATACTTATTGAAAAATCCTTCAACAATTCATATAATATTGATGCAATAAAGTGTTTAAATAAATAAATAAGTATAGCTTAGGCACTATTACTTCTCATCTAATGCAGGACAAAGAGCCACAGAGATTTACGTGTGCAAAGCTGCGGAACAGCGCTCAGTATGTCTGTAGTTCTGTGTAACTGGAACATATTGATTGTCTGGAACAAAAAAAAAAAACAGTCTATGTCCTTTTTTATCCCAAATAATCAGTGCGTAATTTTATAACACTTTGCATTGATGAAATAAGGTGTATAGGTGTGTATACATAATAAAATTTATAATTTAAAAGAGTATTATTCAATTTTGGTTCGCTATTCCTACAGTCATCATCATTGTTATATCAGTCGATAACTGCCCACTGGATATAGGGCTCCCTCTATTGAGAGATATAACTCGAAGTTGCCACGTTTGGTAGGCGTGTTGGCAACCGCAGCTAGGTTTTGACGATGTTTTAAGAACGACCCTCGATCATTGAATTCCCTTAGTTGCCTCTTACGACAATCACAGGAAAGGAAGGGGTGGTTCATTCGACGCCGGGATCACACGTGTATTTGCGATTAATTTAAACAACTTTAAATTTAATTGACTAATTTGACACCTATGTAAATATACACAAGTATTGTATAATTTCCTTGCTAATGGTAATCAACACTTGCAATTTACTTTATCATGATGATATTCCTGACCTTCGGATTGTGTAACCTACAGTCCCCAGTAACAGAGTATGGACGAGTGCCAGTTGAGTTGTATGGCATGCAAGTGAATCATTCATACACACATTCGTCATATATCTACACTTGAATTACAATCATCTTTTTGTGGTTTTCGATGATTAATTACATTACAAATCATTTTATTGAATTACCTAGGTGTTATTTTAGGGAAATCCACATCACTATTTGACTGTTACTTATTTAACTCACGCACCTTTGCTACCAGAGGGAGACTTTGTACAAAAGTCGATTGCTTGGGTACATCTGTCCCATTCGTGTTTCAACCGGGAAGCAGTTGTGTTTGCATAACTGTGTTTCGGTTTGAAGGATGGGATATGGCGTGAATTTACTGGGTACAAAGGAATAACACCTGAGTCCTCAGGAATGACAACGCATGGGTGGTGTCATGGGTGAAACAGTATACTCTGTCATGTCCATGGTACTGCTCATATCTATAGGCGACGGTTACCACTTTCCATCAGGTGGTTCGTCAGCTTGTTTGCCATTCTAAGTTGTATAAAAAAGAAAAAACCTTTGCTAATAGTAGAGGAGATGTATACAAAATAATACCTACTTCATAGGAGTGGGTGGGGGGAAAGGGATTGTTAGCAATGAAGTTTGACAGCCCCATTGCTAGCAATATGCCCTATTAGGTCGACCTCCACGTGGTTGCCCCTGGAAACCATTGTGAACAATTCTTGTTGAATTCGTCATGATAGGCTAATGGGCTTGCTTCATCCTCACCATCATCCTTCACTGGTGCCCTGCCGGTGTATACCGATAGCGCGGGTGGGGTCACCATTCCATTATCACCCATTAGAAATAATAATGCATGTGGAATACTATGGACAATACAATGGTGTTTATATATAAGGAGATAGTTGTTGCACTGTTACTGCCCAGTAGTTGCAATGGGTGAAGGGCGGGGATTGTTATGGGAGATAACGGTCAACTTTATTTGCTTGAATACAGGTTAATATATTAGACATTTTTAATGTTAAAGTAAAGACTCTCTGCATTCAACCGTGTGGCGCGCAAATATTTTATTTGGATTTTTTTTAAATTTTGCATTAAAATAGTCTTCAAGTGAATAAAAACATTTCTCAATAAGTCAATTGTAAAGTTTTTCATCAAAATTTTAATGAAGTACTTGCGATTTCTGATATAGGCATGTTTGCCATTCCAAGTTATTATAAAATATGGCCACCAGATTTTTGGAGCCTGGATTATATCTGAAACGTGTCTAGATACTAGCATGACAGGTAAATAACACGAGGGCGCGGGGCGCGGGTTGCGGGGCGCGGGGCGCGGGGCGCAACCGCGGTGCTGAGTAATCACTATAATCGACCGCGCAACATTAATTACGATATAAAGGTCTTCACGCACTGTCCCTTATAATATTGTGCTCGGTCGCGAATTCGTTATGGTACAGTTTTTATTCCCCTAACACTGTCACATGGAGGGAAAGGAATTGTTAGTGATGGAGACTGAGAATCCCATTGCTACCAATATACCCAACCAGGTTCCCCCTGGAACTATAATGGTTAATTCCAGATGAATTCATCATGATGGGCTAACTGGCCTGTTTTCATTCTCATCGATCACCCTTCACTGGTGCTCCGCCAGCGTATCCTGTTAGCGCAGGCGGGGTTACCATTCCATTTTCATTCAATAAAAAAAAAACACTGTCATATGACGACTTTAAGATCCGTTAATCTTTTATCTCGTTTTTTTAACCCTCAAAACTATTATTAGTGCCGGGTTTACATTAGCACTGGTTAATTGTAAAGTGGTTTAATTCTTATATATAATAGACAAATCATATTATATATTTTTTCTAGCAAAATATATTTATTTGTTTTTTAATCGACTTTTAACGCAAGTAACATAAGATTTTCAATTCGTTGTACGTAATAATTTTATTTTTGACCTGCCTTTTCATCGTCGCCTATCATCCCCCACTGGTGCCCGCCAGCGTATCCAGTTAGCGCAAGCGAGGTTACCATTTTATTATCATCCACTAAAAAAAAGACCATAGACAGTCTGTGGATACCAAAGGCCGCTGCCGAATGCAGTACAAAATAATCAATTCTCTTTATAAAAGATAGTAAAAAGTAACAGGTTGAGTTAAAGAACAATTAAACATATAAGAGCAGTTTTGTGATATAATTTCATGCGGTGTTCCGGCGTGAAATACTGTCTATTGAGTACTTCTAACTTTTTGGAAGCCATCTTAGCCTTGTTACAGTGACCTAAGACCATGTGTCAACCTACGACCTAATCATTATAATATTTGACATTCCTATTTGTATATTTGTATTTGTCCATTTGATATCGAAATCATTATATTGTTTAATATTCATATTTGTATATTTGTTTATCTCATACAAGTTTCCATTAGTAAGTTATTATCTGTATTTGTTGTCACTCTTTCGATGGAAGTATTTGACTATTATAATTGTAAATAGTAATTAAGATATCTCTACTATATATATGGACGATTTGTAATAATAAAAATAGTTCAATTCAGATACTCTACGAGTCTAGTCATTTCAAAAACACCAACTGTGTTAAAACTCTGCCCTATAACAGCCTTTTCCTCCAAATGACCGCAAAATTGGACGTCGCAACGCCTAGTACCTCTAGACTCGACTTATTTTCAAGGAAAGTGCCTTTAAAGTGAGGAGATACGACAAACGGCGTCTTTTTTTGCGATGAATTACACTGAGATGCGTGGGTGCCCGCAGACGGTGCCGCGCGGCGGCTCGCTGGTGCCGTACCGGTGTCTGCGCGGGCGCGGGCTGTCCACATCTCCACTCGCTCCGCAGGATGTCGGCCGCCTGCTTTTTTTTGCAATTACACTGACTCCTTCCAAGAATCAAATTAAGTCAACTAAATTACGAACTAGACGGTAACGTGCTATACTGTATAGGAAATTACTCGACTTGACTTTCGTAGTGTTTCTTAAA